AAGCTCATGTCTGTATGTGTTGTGACTCAGCTGGGATGATATTAAGTTAGAAAAGTTGTGCTTTTCACCCAGGAAGCCTTGTTGGCACTGCAGGAGTTTGCACTATTGGAACCATTGCTACGAGTCCTTGCACAACCAAAGTGCAAGCTGTGTTCTCGCCACTACATCAAACACATTTCTGGAGGATGCTGGATTTCACCAACAATGTCTCTTTTCTCTGATTCTGTTGATGTGATATTCATGGATGGGATCTCAAGGTACAGCTGAGGTGAGGAGATATTCTGGTTTGGGAGCCTCAGATTACACATCTCAATGATGTGGCTCCTTTGGTTTCATCCGAACGTGATCTACAGCGTGCACTGGAACAGATGAGAGTCAGCACCTTCAACTGAGAGGCTTTTTGCCGATAACCTGTGAATTGCTTCCTCTGAGAGGATTTACTGCACCAAGCGACGGAGTTTAAGTTTCTATGGATCTTCTTCATGAGTGACGGAAAAATGGAGCACAGATGGATAGTGCAGCATCAGCATTAATGTGGGTGTTGACTATCATGGTGAAGAGAGAGCTGAGCTGAAAAGCTCTCGATTTGAGTTATAGTCATGAGCTCTGGGTAGTAAACCAAAGAATAAGATACAAGTGGCTAAACTGAGTTTCCTCCATAGGGTGGCTGGGCTTGAATATAGACATCCAGAGGGTCTCAGCTCCTTCATGACAAAAGAAGCCAGCTCAGGTGGTCCAACATCTAATAAGGATGCCTCCTCCTGGGGGCCTTTCTTTGCAGGAAAATCCAGTTTAGCCCTGTAACTCACTGGAGAGAAGAAAAATTTAAACTGACCTTGGAACACCTCGGAATGCCTCAGGAAGAGCAGGAAAACGTTGCTGGGGAGAGGGATGTATGGAGTGACCTGCCTAAGCCTTGACTGTACCCTGGTGCAGATGCGCACACATACAGCTATGGACATGTAGTTGTTATCATTTACTTCTTTTCTAGTCTGCTTGGAAGACTCCTTTGAATATGAGGCTACTTCAAAAAGTTCTCAGCCTCACCTGGGAAGAAGAGGCATAACTTCCATTTTGGGGCAGAACTGTACACCATAAAGCCTATATCAAGCCTGTGCACAAAGACTCTAATGTTTGAAACAATTAAAGAGGAAAGGACAGGAAAGCTGTGAGCTCTCTGCTGTTGCTTCAGGATAATACTTGCATCCACACAGCTCAGGTGGGAGATGCAGCCAAATGTGACCTTTTAAACTGTTGTCCAATCCACCTTACTCACCCGACCTGCACCGTCTGACATCTCTTGCCTGAACTGAATTCCCAATGTCATGGTCGCCATTTTCAGCGATAATGAAATCATCTATGCCTTTGAGGAGTATCTAGGAGCTCCTAACAGCATGCTTGAACATTGCTGGACCAAGTGCATTGAAGTTAAAGGAGACTATGTTGAAAAATAATGCAAGAACATTTTTTTTCCCTGTGATGTTTCCTGCTAAGGTCGAGAACTGGGTTGTATCTAAGTATTCCACAATTATTCACAATGATGAAGCATGCGCACTTTTGCCCATATGGCAGAGTCACAGCATAAACACAAATTTTAGGAGGATGTGTATGGAGGGATCTGTGTGGCCTCTCACAGACTACTGGAGATGACGAAGTTTATGTCATGACAACACACAGAAGGTACATCAGCAGCCTTAGCCTGCTTCCACCACAACCTGACTCAGGATTAACTGAAGAAACTGGATGGATGTAGAACTGTTGATCTACATGAGAGTAAATACTTGAAAGAAATACTTGCTGGGAGCCTTACTACATTGTATTCCATTATATTTTCAATCATCACCTTGTGCCTGAATTTTGTGTTTCCTTGACACATTTCCACCATAAATTGATGCAGAAAAGGTACAAATTGGTGCATAAAAATTAATCAGAATTCATGGAAATAAAGTCTTTGACATTCAATATTTCTTTGGAGAGAGCAGAATTTAAACTAAGCTATGAGCTAGAATGTCTGAAGAATTTGTCATTAAAGAAATTTAACCACTCATTAGCGGATTGAGAAAGGAAACATAGGAAGCAAAAAACACCTTCAAGAAAAGCACCTTAACCCTCTTCAGGACTTTCATGTTGCCATGCAAAGAAGGTCTTTCAGGGTCCATTGAACCCCAAGAAAGAATATATGCAAAGTATTTGTTGGTACTCATTAACTATATGTTGTTAAATACATTTTCTGATAAGTTGACATATTTTTTTTAGTTCCAAATGCATGACAAATGTCCATCTTTTTATATTTAACCCCCCCCCCCCAAAAAAAACCCCAAACAAACAAAAAAACAAAAAACAATACCACTCACCTAAACCAAAAGTTCTGAGTAGGGTTAAAAAACACTTGATGGAGCCTTTGAAAAGTGACTGTTTGCAATTTTCCATTTGCATTTAAACTTAATATTTTTTTGCATTTCTGATAGCAAATCACATAAAGCAAGAAATCAGAATGTCAACTTTTGCTTTTGAAAATAATTACAGGCGCTTTCTGCTTTTTTTTCTGGCAATTTACACACTGGACAATCAATCGAGTAGTAATTGTGGGATGGAACAGGCAAAGTCACAATTCAGAAAGCAAAAGATCGGATTAAATGGAGAGAAATGATCGCCTTGCTGAATTGCATGGCACTTGACTGATTACGTAATTGTGAGAAATAATTTACTCACCTGTTTGGGACTGCTTATCCCACCTGAATGCAACTGTTTTGTCTGTTT